TAGCGCTGTCCGAAGACGTCTCCGTCTCTATCTTGTTAGTGTGACAAAATGTGCAGCACATGAGTTATGGTCATTTTACCCACCTCGGAATGATGAAAGGCTGAGTCAACCTTGAGCCGGTGAGATTAGAACCGCTGAACTGCATAACAGTCAGCTGAAGTGGCCTGCAGTACTGCACCCTAACCACTGCGCCACCTCGGCTCTTTGCCTTTATGCCTCAGGAATTTGCTTCCTTAATTTTTTTTTTTTTTTTTTTACATAATAGACATAAAAAAACATAGTGTCACCACTCTATTCCAACTCAAGTTAAGCGCTACGGAGGTGAAGGCCTTCTATTGGTACGATGTGCTGGATCAGCCCCCTTGAAGTCACAAGCTCCTACATGGTAGGAAAAGACTGGGGTGTGTGGGGGAAATCTACATGGGGAACACCTGGTTTTATAATGCTTCGAGTCCCATCAACGACAGCAATTGGGGAAGGAAAAGGAGATACACCTTTGTACCCAGGGGACGCATAGCAACAAATATGGATGGTCGTTAGGCAGGCCAGACAAGAGTAGCTGAACGCGATAGTAAGATTGAATGAAACAACATGCTCTTCAGAGGAAAGGAATTCAATGGCACTGACATGTAAAATCTGTATCCACTTTCGGAAAAACAATCCTTCCATTTCTCTCACAAAAGGCACATAATAAATAGACTTTACAAATCTACGTAGTATTGGGTTAACCTTGTCATTTGCGTGGGCTACAGATTAGTGCACAGGTATCAAATTCGATTTCATTGAGGGCCACATCAGGGTTGTGTTTGACCCTGTGGGGCCAGGATGGGCGTGGCTGGGGTGCGCATGGCCAGCATGATACTATATCACTCCTGTTAGGGGCCACCTGTGGTGGCCTGAGTGCTCTGCCAGTGAAAATGGGTTCCCGAGCTCCGTTTTCAGCTGGGACTGCCTCCTGCAACCTTCTGCCAGTGAAAACGGAGCTCCGGGGCTGCACGCAGCCCTCGGAAGCTCCGTTTTCGGCGGGGAGCACCTCCTGCAACCCTCTGCCAATGGAAACAGAGCTCAAGAGAGCCACACACAATCCTCGCAAACTCCATTTTTGCTAGCAAAGGCACTGCGGGTCAGTCCTTCCTGTATCCAGGGTGGACTCACAGGCCAAATCTAAGCACCCCACAGGCCGGATCTGGGCCCCGGGTCTTGAGTTTGATACCCTTAGATTAGTGTCACCGAGTCTCATCTTTCTTCATTTTGGCAAAGATTCCAAGCACAGTTCAAGGGACAAAGCATGGACCTTCTGGATGCATTTGGCAATTTTGAACCTTGTAAATGCACCCAGGGCACGGGCAAAACCAACAGGGGAAGACAAACCAGAATTGGCATTCTCTGCGATGAAGACAAATAGGTTAAATTATTCTTTGGCAACTGTTTACACTGGGGGCCGATGCAGATGCTAATTGTTGCAGTACCTTACATTTGAAGATACACCTGCACGGTCCGATTTTGGGGTTAAGAATACAGCTCTACCCCCACAAACTATTTACTTGCAGCAAACCTGAAATGTCCAGTCAGAGAACTGTTTCTCAACTTTGGAAGCTTGAAGATGAGTGGACTTCAACTCCCAGAATTCCCTTCAGTTCTAGGAACTGCAGTCCACACTTCTTCAAGCTGTCGAAGTTGAAAAGTCCCGATTCAGACGGTGTCAAGGGATACCGAGCAGGTCTTGCTTGAAAACTGGAGCTCATCCTCCCCCATTATTTTGACATGACTAGAGCAGGCAGGCTTGAAAATACTGTCCATTGGCCACGCGCTCAGCGATAAGCAACACTGTTATAACATTTTTAACTCATTTTGTGCAGGGAAATTTGTCTACTCCGAAATCATGTTGCCCAGTAAAAAGTAACCTCAAGTTCACAGGCCAATCAGGAAGAAGAATATGGATGACAGACAGCAGTGGGATTCCAAATAGTTTCCTACCGGTTCCATGAGAGTGCGCTTCGCAAGCCCTCACGCCTAATATGCAGTTAGCAATAGCAATAGCAGTTAGACTTATATACCGCTTCATAGGGCTTTCAGCCCTCTCTAAGCGGTTTACAGAGTCAGCATATCGCCCCCAACAATCCAGGTCCTCATTTTACCCACCTGGGAAGGATGGAAGGCTGAGTCAACCTTGAGCCGGTGAGATTAGAACTCCAGCCTGTGGGCAGAGT